GTGCCTGGGCCTGCTGAGGGGTGAGACTGACCCCCAGGGCCTGGGCCTGCTGAGGGGTGAGAGTCATGGACTTTGTGGGAGACTGTCCAGAAATAGGAAAGGGCCCTGGTGAGGAAGATTGTGTGGAGGTGGGAGGAGTGATTGGTACGGGGTGCTTCCCGTCAGCAAGAACATCTAATGTCTTGAGATTCCGCTGGAACTCTTCTCTGTGATGAGACTGGGAGGTGTCTTTGGGTGTGCTCGTCCACCTGGGAGATAATGTCACTGAAGTTTGGCCGAAGATCTCTTCTAGCTCCTCGGAATTTTTCTGCTTAGTCTTCATCTGACCCTGTGCTTCTCTCTGCCTCTGCCTTTCTGCTCTGCCTCTAGCTTTCTCCTTGGCCTCTGCTTCTCCTCCTCTTTCTCCCAGCTGCTTTCCAGCTCCCCGTGCCTCACTTCCTTCGGAACCTGCCTCGTCTGCCGCCCCTTCTCCTTCCCCAAGGGCACCCCTTGCTCTTGCACTGTTTGCTTCCGCGCTTCCAGCTGCTGCTGCCGTGGCTTCTGCTGCTCCTCTCCCTCCTCTCCCCTTTGCTTTTGGGTCTCATCTCGCTCAATCCGCTTCTGGCTCCTTTGTTTTTGCTGTTCCTGCCACCCCTCTTCTTCCTGCCACCCCTCTTCTTCCTGCCGCTGTTTCTGCCTCTGTTGCGCTTGCTTTCCCTCCCTCCTCTGGAGCCGTGCCTCTTCCTTCTCCAAATTCTTGTTTGTCATTTCATAGCTCTTCCTCCAGAGATTCCTTTCTTCTTCCAACTGGGTTTTGAGACTCATACCAAACATTTTTTTTTTGATCCTCTTGCAAGTATTCCTCCTGCCTTTGTTTTTCCTTCTCCTTGTGATCTCTCCCTCCAATTGAGTCTACTGGAACATCTCTTTCACTTTCTATCTCAGTTAAGATCATTTGTATTAAATTGTCAATTACTGGGTCCATGCTCTTATGTGAGAGTAAGGGGCTAATTTCAGACTTCGCGCTAAATGGTTTCTGAAAGTGCAATCCTGGCATAAATAAGGCTACCTTTTCTCGTTTCAGAGGTTTCTCTGCAACTTGTCCTGCATGTTTTATATCTTTGTATTTTCTCAAGATTTTTGTTACAGTTTCAGCCACATTTTGGAAATATTCCTCTATTTTTGCCTTTATGATTCCTAATTTTTCAACTTCCGCAGTTTTTAATACTAACTCCTCTCTTGGCACAGTCTTTTTATCCAGAGGCTTTCCTATGTTATCAATTTTCTCTTTTAGGAAAGCCATTATGGCTTTCTGAAATTCTTCTAGGTTACTCTGTTCACTTTTGCCATCTAGACTTCCTAGAGCTCTGGTAGATTCTGAAGTCTCTTTAGTTATCCTAGACTGTGATTTAACAAGTTCATGCGATTTGATTTTCTTGTCAAAGACTAACACGTCCTTCTCTTCAGTATTTCCTTCTTTGCTTGTGGTGGTTCCTAGAGAAATAGAGTGTTTTTTTCCTGTTGTTTTCACTTTCTCAGAGGAATAATCAAGTTGGATCAACCTGAATGGCTCTCTTGACTACTCATCTCACTTTTGCTCTCTTTGGCCATTGACTCAGTGGTGGGCTCCTCTTTCTTCTCTGAAGAAATCTGGCTTTTGTCAAGTGAATGTTCAGGTTTGACCTTCCTGAATTGATCCCACACATTACTGGTTCCACTTTTGCCACCTTGGCTATTTATGTTCGTAGAAAGGAAATCAGCAGGGACATATTGACTTTCTGATTCAGTGGATGACTTTGATTTGGCTTCAGAAGAGGATTTTCTTTCATTTTTCTTCTTTCCCAGTGCTTGTAGCTCAGAGTGGTGATCAAGTTTGGTTTCTGAGATGTTGTGTTCACCTTTGTCATCACTCAGATTTGGTCCAGAGGTCTCATGCACATCTGGGCCTTTTGTGTGCTTTGTTTTCTGTAATTGATACCGGTCAGTCCCATCTTTCTGATAGACATCACCTTCCTTCAGTGATATCTTATCTTCAGTAATATCTTCAGTAATCTCTCTAGAAGACTTCTCCTGTTTTTTTTCAGGTAAAGGGTATTGCTGTTCAGTTAAATCTGGAGTCCTCTCAACTTGGGCTGTGTATGAAATAGTTGAGTCCCACTTGATCCCCGAGCCTTTGGTCCCTTTTGTTTGGGCCTCATCTACAATATTTTCCAATTCTTTCGCCAAAACACTGTCCATACTGTCTTCTACATCAGCTTTGCTAATGACCGTAGATGATTGTGGAGAAAGCTTAGGTAACACTTTCAAGGTTGATGTGGGCAACGCTGTATGTACTTGGCGTTCTACTATAGCTTTGGATCGAATAAGCTGTTCACATATTTCTTCTGCATCTTGAAGTTTCTGCTGAAGCATTTCATTTTTTTCACTGAGATCTTGTATTATCTTCAGAGAGAGCTCTTTTTCTCTTTCACTTGTCTCATTTATATACATATTTGCACTTTGGAGGTTAAAAACTTTTACTTCATCATTTAGTGCACGCAAAGCTTTAGAAAGGTTTACTATTGTTGATGATATATATTTAATAGCATTGTTTTCCAATTTATTGAACAGTGCAGTGCCTATAAGTTCTTGTAGCATGTCTTGGATTTCTGAAACTTTTGTATTTGTTGCAAGTTCATCACTAATCATCTGATCTGGTCTTAAAGCATGGGCTGTTGCAGGTCGCTTTATGACTCTTTCTTTCCAAGATTTCCATAGAGTACTTCCAGATGCTAGAAGAAAAAAACCCATATAATAATGAGATTGCATTTCTTCTTTTGTGTTGTGCTCTGTCTATGCTTAAGCCTAAGGAATTTAGCCTAAATTAACAGATAGCTATAGGACAAAGATTCATTAGAAAACTTTGGCTCCAAAATACATAGTATTATTTTTAAAAGAATGACTCTTCCCACAATCACCTAGAACTTCTGTTTCCAGAGTTTAGGAGAACTCAACTGTGACCTCAACTTACCTTCAGTTACAGTTTGGGATTAGACATAACGTAAGCCAAAACTTTCCTTTGGCTTTGATTATGCTTGGTGCTTTCTGTTTCCTTTCTTGGGTTCCTGTCTTTCTCTTCTCCCTTTTCTGAATCAAAGCTAACCTTGGTTCTTTCAAAAGGGTCACAAAAGAACAAACAAAAGTCAAATACTGGAAGGAACTTCCATAATGGCTGAATGAGAAACTCAGCAATTTTTTTTCCCAAAAAAGCAATGATAAAACTTGACAAAACTGCCACAAACATGCATTTTAGGACTTTGGAAATTGATCAAAGGCATACAACAAATTGAGAAGCATTTATTTAAGAAAAATTACTGAACTTCAGTAAGAACAGTGGAAGTGTGTGATGTTTTAGCCTGGAGTTACTTCCATCTCCCACTCCCCAGCCCCATGTCCTGGTCGTTCTACCAGAGTGAGGTAGGCTGTGAAGATTGACAGCTCTACTGCCTGAGGGGGCTGATTTGATCTGGAGCAAAGCATGGAAAAATCCATGCCTAAGAGCATTGTCTAAAACAGTACTTCCTTAACCCATACACAGATCCATTAGCAAAGAGTAAAAGCCTTACCGCGTCAATTTACATCAATTAATGATTGGCCAATCATTGACTGACCATTAAGCTATGTTGACCCAAAGGGGACCCCTAGGAATTCAGGCTTAAAAATAAAAACAAAAATGAAAAAAGAAAAAAATAACTGGTCAGAGATAACAGTGGCTGCACACTGTGGGGAGGACAGGCAAGCCACTGAAAAACAAACCAAAAAAGCAACAAAAACAAACCCCAGAGGTTGTAGGGAGAATCAGAATCCAGAGTTGTTACAATATATTATATAAAATGTCCAGTTTTCAACATAAAAGAAGCATGCAAAGAAACATAGAAGAAGCATGCAAAGAAACAGAAAAGCGTGACCCACACACACGGGAAATAAGCAGTCAGTAGAAGTTGTCTCAGGGGTCAGAGTCGGGGGAGGCCAGATATTGGACTTATCAGAAAAAAAACCTCAAAAGAAACAATTATAATAAACACATTCAAAGAACCAAAGGAAACCATATTTTAAAATAAAAGGAAAGTATGATGATAATTACTCATCAAATAGAGCATATCAATAAAGAGATGGAAATTAGAAAAACCAAGTGGAAAATTTGGACTTGAAAAGTATAATAACTGAAGTGAAAAATTCACTGAAAGGGCTCAACAGCAGACGAACTGACAGAAGAAAATAACTAGCAAACTTGACACTAGATTAGTAGAGACTGGTGAACCTGAAGAACAGGGAGGAAAAAGAATAAAGAAAAATGAACAACACCTCAGAGACTTGTGGGACACTATCCAACATCCCAATGTACAAGTAACAGAAGTCCTGGAAGAAGAGGAGAGAAAGAGGGACATTAAAAATATTTGAAGAAATAATGGCAAAATCATCTCAAATTTGATGAAAAATATTAACCTACAAATTCAAGAAGCTCAGTAAACTCTAAGTAGGATAAACACAATAAGATCCATACCTAGACACATCATAGTCAAACTGTTGAAAGCCAGACAAAAAATCTTTAAACCAAAAAGAAAAATGACTCATCACAATCAAAGGAGGCTCATCAGGTACAGGGGAACTGCAGTAAATTTAACAGCTCACTTCTTATCAGAAACAATGGAGGCCAGAAGGCAGTGGGATGACATATTCAAAGTACTGAAAGAATAATACTGCTAACCAAGAATTCTATACCCAGCAAAACTATTCTTCTAAATAAAGATAAGACATTCGTTCCCTGAAATAACACTTTTCCCAAAGTAGTATGCACGTACCACTCTCATAAGCATCCTTATTGCATGTATTTTTAAACACTTCTCTAAATGCATTACAGAATGTCTGTCACATCCGTTCCCTGTGACTCTTCCATAACACTCTTCTCAAAGTAGCATGCATGTACAACTTATAAAAAAAAATAAAGGTAAGAAATAAGATATGCGGATGGTAAGTAAGCATATGAAAAGATGCTCAATATCATTCTGTCATAAAGAATTGCAAATTACAACTATGAGATGCTGTTACACATCTATTAAAATAACTGAAATCCAAAAAACTGATAATACCAAATGCTAGCAAGGATATGAGCGAAAGGAACTCTTGTTTATTGCTGGTGGGAATGAAAAATGGTATAGCTACTTGAGAAGACAATTGGGCAGTTTCTTACAAAGTTAACTATGAAGTAATGTAGTCTTATCATGCTCCTAGGTATTCACCCAATAGATTTGAAAACTTATGTCCACACAAAAAAATTGCTCAAGAATGTTTATAGCTGCTTTATTCTTAATCACTAAAACCTAGAAGAGCTGGGGGAAGGAAAAAAACAGGAGGGTAGTGATTGAGTAATAATGATAAGATACATTTATATACAAGGTTACATAAAAGAGTGGTTAAGACCCTGGACTCCGGGGGCCAGGCTGCCTGCTCAGGCTGGGCCACTTTCTAGTTGTATGACCTTGGGCAAGTTGTTTAACCTGTTTCTCAGTTTCCTTATCTGTAAATTGAGGATAATGCTAACATAAGAGGATAATGTTCACATCTCTCTCGTAGGATTGATAAGAGGATTGACAGTTAATGTAAAGCAGGTAGGGTAGTAGCTGGTATATAAAAACAGTATATGTGAGCAGCTGCTTTCATATATACTTAGGAAAGATTAGTCTCATCTCAGTTTTCTGGTCATTTTCATTTGAAAGGAACAAATGGTTTGCTGGCTTGAATTCCTACACACTAGGAATTAAAAGGCGCCCTTTTCTGAAAAAGATTATTTTGACATTTAGTATTGATATTTGAGGTGTGAGTGTTTTTGAGTTCGTTTGTATAGCGGGCCATTGGCTTTATCAGATGACCAATCTCAAGTAAAATGGCTCAGTATTTTGAGGACTGTTTAAATTAGTTAAATGCTAAATATCTATAATAGGATTCTTATTCTTTAATAAGGGGATTCATGAATCTTATATGTAGAAGTTTCTAGGGAGAAGTCTGTAATTTTGATTATATGTCCAGAGCAATCCATGACTTCCCAAAAGTTAAGCCACTGATCGATGGAGGCCTCAGTTTTGTTTTTTGTGTTTTTTTTTAAACAATCGTTTGATGCCATCGGATAGAGGTAGTGGGAATTTGGGGATGTAAGTCTTGTTTTTGCCTCTGATACTAGAGGACCAGCTATTACTGATAGCTTTACTGATGAATAAACTTCAGGTTTTCTTCCACAGTGGAAAGTAAATGATTCCTGCTGAAAGCTTGGGGGAAATGATCTAGGGTCATCCAGTTACTTTGCTGTTCACAGTGTGCACCCCAGCCCAGCAGCAAACTTCTTTACTCAGGGGCTTGTTAGAATACAGACTCTCGGGCTCTGGCCCTGAACTGCTGAATAGAATCTGCATTTTATCCAGATCCCTAGATGATACTTATGCACAGTAAAGTTTGAGAAACACTCATATAGTGTATATTCATTCATTGATTTATTCACAAATTTTATTGTCAGCCTCCTGTGTACTAGTCACTGTTCAAGGTGCTAGAGAGCAGTAAGCCATAGACAAGGTCACTGCCATTGTGGAACTTGAAGACAAAGTAATTCAGATTAGGATAAGTGCTTTGTGATAGAGGGTAAATTTTATTGCATAAACTACCGTGAATTTTATTTATTTATTCATTCATTCATTGGTTCATTCATTCATTTGAAAGTTAGCTGTACTTTGGCCCTAGGATAGAAATCATTGCAGAGCTGAATTACCCTAGTTCTTATCTGGTAGACATTTTTTGTATCTATTTCTTCTGGATTATCAGCCACTCTAGGCAGAACTGGGGCCAGCGACCATTTGACTTGGTGAGGAGACTTATAATATTCCTTAAATATTATGTAAATAATTGTCTTCAAGTTTTCTCTAAGGCAACTGGAGTGTAGTGGCAGACTCTCCAGACTGCCTAGGTTCAGATCCTGGCTCCGTCTTATTAGCTATGCAGTTAGTAAAGTAACTTTTTCCTTATCTGCAAAATGTGGATGATAATAGTATTTAACCGAAGTTGCTATAAAGATGAATTGAGTGTTCCATAAATGTTAGTTATTATTCTTCTGTCAGAATGGGTGAAAAATTCCCAGTTTAATTTTCCTTTTTACTTTCCATAAAATACCCCTAAGCATCTTCTAGTAGGAGGATCCTGAGGTTTCATACTGAATGAAATGATAGGAGTTTGTTCTGTTTTGTTTTGTCTTTTTTTTTTTTTAAGTACTTGTAATTTAGTGGTCCTCTCAATATTGGAGATGTAAAAATTAAACCTGAATGATTAATCTGCTATGAGGCAAATAAGTTTAATCAATGTATACACTTTATTTCTGTTTTTCAGCGTTTGTAGGGTTAAGTGGCATGAGATTTCTGTTTCTGATAGTAAATAGGCAAGTAAAATGGTTATGTATGACCAAAGAGATGGTGTCACAGTATTTATGGTGACTTTTTCCTAAGTCTTGGTTCTCTTACCTTAAAACTGCTATCTCTTATGACCAAAAGGATTGTTTTGCCAAGAATTTGGTTTCCCTTTTTTCCTTTCATTTCTCTCTCTCCCCAGATAGGAACGGGTTTAAAATGGCCCAATAATGAGGACTGCTTTTGGCTTATTTGGTGATGACACATATTGCTTAGAAATAGAGGTGGTGATTGATCTATCAGTTTTATGGACAATTTGAATATATTTGCGGTGATTGGAGAGTATC